GCGCTTATGTACTCTTATGTGTCCAGGGCCACCTATGCGCCGCGAGACCCGCCCCCCAGCCCTGACCCCTGCCTCCGGGCCACCGCCCCCGCCCCGCCCCCTGCCCGGGTCCCTCGTCCTCCCCGCCCTGCCTTCGCCCTGCCTGTCGCCCTGCCGTTCGCTCCTTCTTCGCGCTCCCTTGGCGTTCGCCAGTCTTCGCCCCGTCTGGGCCCGTCTTCGCCCGCGTCTGCCGTCTTCGCCCCGGAGTGGCTTCGCTCCCGTCTTTCGCCCATCTTTTCCCCGCTTGGCTTCCCTCCCCTTTTTCCCCTCCGATGCCCTCCTCCCCCGCGCCCTCCCCCTGACCTCCCGGCCTCCCCTTGCCGGCCTTCGCCGTCCCCCTGGCCCTCCCCGTTCTTCCGCGCTCCCCGCCCCTCCCTCCTCCGGCCCCGTCCCTCCGCGCGCGGCTGCTGCTCCTGCCCTCCTGCCCCGTCCGCCCTTTCTGGTGGGTGCGTCTTCTTTGTTTTCCCACCGCCTTTCCAGCCTCACGGCTTGCCTCACTCTGTGCCCCGGCTCACGGCCCCATCCCGCCCTCTTTCGTTCCCTTGCCTGGGCGCAGGCCTGGCGGCTACCTTCTCGAGGTCCTCGGGCCTCTTTCTGTTTGGGCCGTCTTGGTTAGCTTCTTTGTGTTCGATCATGAAAGGTCCGTTTGCCTTCGCCTGTCTCCCGAACTGTGTGTTGATTGTTTTTGTTCAACACACACCTTGCCACCTGCTGTATTGCTAGGAATATAATCTGGCCCGGTTCGTGACGTTCTGCACTGCATATACGTATCAAGCGTCCCATACGCTCTTCGATTCGCGGTCCTCTAAATTGTCCGCACTGATCTCGCATCCTGAGTGCCTGCTCTTTATATTCCGGGAGGCGAACTTTCTTGTTCTAGGCCCGAAATAAACACAATGTGAAGATCTTTCCTCTGCGGGTTCCTTCAAGATTATATCGGGTTTTCGCTGATCTTTAAGTGACTGAGCACCGCATCAGCGAGTGATAGATGACAGTTTCGACAGTTCCAGTTTTCTGTCAGTGCGATCAAACACGAGCGTCTGAAGCTAGAATCCGCCGGATTAACACTGCACGAACGATTGAACGAAGTGATTTGCTGATTCTCTTCTTTAGAATACGGATGTTGTGCCCTATAACTGAAGAATTAGGATGATAAACATGCTTCGAGAACGGATTCCCATCGGACAGACTACGACGCGCCCTCTCATACTCAATCAAGCGGTCGCCAACCGACCAATTGCGATTATGAGTGATTTTGGGAAGAGTAATGAACACTGGCAAACTGGGCATTGCGGGCACCTTCGGGTACGGTTGAACACGACACGATAAACGGATAACACTGTTACGTTTTCGAGAAGTGAATGGCTTCTTTAGTTACATTTCATTCATGATATGTGGGCCTAGCTTATCACTACACAAAACAGCCGTGTCGCTCGTTCACGCGGTCCATTAATAATCTCAATCTAACTTCTGTCTTCCTTTGACAACTCCATTTCACTCCGCACGTCTCTCACGAAAAGACGCTCTATCGAAAACTTAACTCAGGACATCAGTTCATGTTACCACTCATAAAGGCTTGTATTAAAATAGTCTGCCATTGTGTAAAATAAATAGTTGTTGTTAAACCTCCAAACATTGAAATCTAGAAACAAGGAAGAAGAGAGTTGTAATGTTGTCATAACAGGTATTGTACAATTTTTTTATTACAAATCTGGTATATCAGGCTATTGAAGGTTGGACAGCAACGACTTGCACTTTACACGACATTATATCTGTGAATCATTCTTATAGGCAAAATTGTCAATCAAGTTATGAAGGAACGAACGAGACTGTTCCGCCAGGGGCGTCGCCTAAGGAGGTTACATTCCTCCGGAACGGCCGTGGTTCCGGGCCTAACGGAACGCTGCGCCGCCGCTGCAGCCCTGCTCGCTCGGCGGTCATTTAGTGCAACCACCTTCACCGTTGCCCTTCCACCATTCACCATAATGCTTTACCATCGTTTTCCTTCAGCGGTCAGCAGAGCCAACGCTGATGCTCCGAGAATCCACTTGCTCTTCACTTGCTCAAGGCAGTGGCGGCTTAAGCAAGATTCTTAGAGGAGGAAACAAGTCATGAAAATTATATTACATTAAAATGAAACATACAACAAATTAGATTGCATGCAGACATCTAATCATGATATTCGTTACCTTCGCAATATCGCCACTGGTAGAAGAACTATTTTAGCAGCCCCTTTATGCCTAATCAGTGCGATATTCATTTTTACCAAAACAAGTGCTAACTTTAACGATCAATCAAGATGGGCCCCTGATTTTTCGTCTCTAAATTCCGAGACTTAAAATTTTAATGTTACCGAAGAGAAATAAAAAATTCTTGAAAAGAAGCTCGCATCAGTACAGCACAGCTGATTTATCACCAAGTGGTATGAAGGGAGACCAAGAATAATACACTTTCTTTAGGCCAGCCCTCTTCACTGACTGATTATCAAAATTCTTTGCTTAGTTATTGAACTGTCCGTCGCCTTCAGATTGGAAACGGGAGAGAGATACATATCAGTTCTGTCTGCTCTAACATCCGGGCTTCCGCCTGCCCATGGTTCTGCCACGGATGCGAGAAGATATTACACTGTGTTTCTTCCTGTCTTGGTAAATGCTTCATGTGTGGGTGGGCGCCTAACAGGCGTCGCCCGCTGAGCTTCATTTAATTTCAATAGACAATAGACAGAATTCTACAGCAGGATCTTCTCTCCTCATTCTTTTCACGTCGCCTAAAAAGCGCGTGCAGTTTAAAAACTCGATTAAAGACAATGTCTGATAACTATGAATTAAAAAATATAAATTTTCCTTCTTGTAGAGAAGAGAATATTGTATTTAGAAATTACATTCAAAAGAAGAAAGTGTGTGAGGGAGGAGGTCATCCCTTCCTCCTCTCCCCTCCCCACCCCTCCCCACCACTGATGCAAGGTTAATAAAGATTTACCCAATGGCAACTTCACTTGGTGCCTTGTAATGGATGGAGTCTTAAATGTAACAAGTGTATACTGTTAATTCGTATGTTTTGTTATTAATAAAATTTAGTTACAAGTAGTAGTAACAACAGCCAAGACTAAAAATGTGGAAAAATTATCAAACCGAAATTTAGTGTTTCGCATTATTTTTAAATCTTTTAGAGCTCATACTAGTGTGAGATACCCAGTCGAGGTGATTGAATTAATTCCTGAAGGATTGTTGAAGTAGTTATCAGCAGAAACATCGTCAGTCAGTAGAAACTATATGTTTAAGTCTATAGTGTTATAGTCTATAGTGAGATATTCTCCTACTATTATCTCTTTGTTGTGTTCTTTATTTTGAGCAGTGATAGCGGATAATATTTTTTTTGGTTTATACGAACTATTGCAAGAAAAGAAACTTACATTTTAAGGTATGTACACTGTTATGTACTGTTACATCATTGCAAAAATCCAAATCATTCAACATTTGAATTTGAATGAATTATGAAACTCCCTTCATGAATTATTAAAATTAATTTAAAATTGAGATATTATTACAATTTCACGCGATTACAATATTTGCAAGAATATTTCAGGTGAGAAAAGTCTCCCGACTGCAAATATACGGTAATATTTTCACCAGTTGCAGAGCGTTTGCTATAACGGTCAGAGCGAACAAGCAAGAAAGAATTAGAAAGTAGTGTGGAATATAGTTCGTGATACATCCACAAGGAATTTCCTCACAAGACCAACGAAACGAGAATGATGAAAATGATCCGACAAATGTTGAGCGCGACACCCTATAACTTTCTCACGAAAAGAGGTAAGCAAAAACGCAAAAATACATTTTAGTAAACGAGAGTCTTTTCATCTCTAAATGATACATGATTCTATCTGATGCAATATCGCTCATTTCTTGTTTCTAATTTGTCTAATTAGACGTATATAATCTTTTGTAGTATATATAGCATTTCAATGAATTTTACTAATATGAACCCCTCTATAAAGTAAATGCGTGTCTTATTACGTAGCGCATCTAGAAAGTTTCCTTATTTTGTGAAACAAAATACAACATTGTTACATGAAAAAAATTATTGCCAACAGGTACAGCCACGTTTGAGCTATTCTTCGACATAGTCACCCCGCGAATTGAGACACTTTTCACATCGTGGTATCAACTTTGGGGTTGTATACCTTTCTCGTAGAACTGTGCATGCGACTGGAACCAGCGTGACACAGTCGTCTTCAGCTCTTCACCGTAGAGAAAACTCTGACAGGAGGACAGGAAGGTTTCGTCAGGTGTAGGGAAAGATGAAAATCGTACGGTGCGAGATCAGGGCTGTATGGAGAATGATCAAACAGCTCCCAGCCGAACTGCTACAGAATTGTTGCTCTTTGCCGCGCCGTATGTATAAGATCATTGACATGGAGCATCACAGTAACCGTGTCAGGAAGATCATGTCAACACCTGCAGTAAGCCTGCCAGTAAGAGCTAACGATGAATTTCGATCAGCGCGATGTGTTGTGCATTAAATAACTTTATCACGGACCGAAACTCACAGGCAACGATAAGTGCCATTTCGGGCCACTGGCACTCGGTGGGTCCTGTCCGGCCGCCACTTGACTGATAGTCATAGATCTGTTACGCATGAGCGATTTCCCCGCATAAGTGCGTGTACTTCCGAAGTAAAAAATTGGGGAACATACTTTCTAGATGCGTCTCATACCTCACCAAAATGACAAGATAGGTTAAAGTGACAACTAATTGAACACTCATTGTCAACAAATACAAATAACTCGAGGAATTGTAAGCAAACAACATAGAAAAACTGACATCATATGAAAAAAATTTTGAAACAAAAATGTCTCGTAAAAAGGTCATTCAAGTTGGATATTTTAGCACAAGTCATTAGACATCGCTCGAGGCACTGGAGAGGAAGTCAACTTTGTTTTGAATTAGTCTCCTTATAGCATTATCTGAATTTTATTTCACCTCTTCTTTGATCCTATACTATAGTTCTATAACTCCACCTATCGTCGGAAGACAGAACTCTTGTTGATAAGACGAAATAAAACCGTGAAGTAGGAAGTTTATGGACAAGAACTGTAAGAAATACTATCACTTGGAAAATTCTCAGTAATAAGTTGAAGTATAAGTCAAGTGAATTAAAAGAAAAGTTAAGTGGCAAGCATGTAGAAAAGAACAGCTAAACTGTTTAAGTGATAAGTGAAAGTGCAATCCTTGGTCGAGAACATCATTAAGCAAAAATCAGGGAAAATTTTGTATTAAAAGAAACGTTTAGGTTTAATTTATAGTCGTAAAGAACAAAAAAATTACAATAGATTAATTTTTAAGCACCCTACTGAAAAGTAGAATGCCCTTACCCTCTATGGCATGTTACTTGGACTATTAATGTCACTATATCGTAATCTGACTGCGTAGGTACGTAAGTACTAGAAGGGACTGTGCAAATCTTCTGTATTTTGTAAATAAGTGTCTTAAAAATTCAAATATGTTTGTTCTAAAACCCACCTTTGAACAGCTAGGCTTTGAACTGGGCGTTATATCATTTGGATCAGGTACCATAAGTAGATAAACAATCTAATATTTGCTAGACGTTTATTAACGGACAAAATTATTTATATTTATTATTTTATTTAAATTTCACTTTCATATATTTTTACGTAGATTTAGAGACACAAGGGTCTTGCCTCAGGACTTCTTGCGTGCTTTGTGGTACAGAAATCCATAAGACCTAGCTAAACGTCCAAAGGTCGTATTATGTCGTTTACAAAGAATAGAAATTCCGTATCCACGGAGGCTCAAAAACAGTTTTTAAGACCTAAAACGCTGTTTTGGAGTATTGCTCACTGTTCACGTGTGTTACAATGTAATTTGTATTGCGGGTTGTATTTGCCCTGGATTTCTCAGAGCGTAATATGGATAACTAGATTAGTATGGCTCCTCCAGCTAATATTTTCATGCTGAAAAGTTTTATTTGTGCTTTGTAAATAAATTCGTAATATAAATAAATTGAAACATATAAAAGTTGCCAGGTTGGCCCTTTTTCAGACATAGAAAGTAACATGAAAAGTATCGATTAAAATACCTGCTTCAAGTTTTGTTTCATTACAAAATTAGGAATAATTATCGTCAAACTGATGATTGAAATCTTACCGAATCATGAAAATGCCAGAAAAACAGTATAGTTCATAGTACGCACATTACACCACTGTACTCATAAGGGGCAGTAAAACCGCGAAAATCACTCGTTTTCCTAGATATCTTCCACAATTTCCTCGGGAGAACCGGCTAAGATTTGGGTCAATCGATTTTTCTTGTCAAGAGGAATTTAATGAGCTACTGATGCAATGGACAAAATGTTAGTTTTCCCACCAAGAGACCGAGACGCGTTGAATGACATCTCATATGTCTTGATTGGTGAACCGAAAGTGGTCTAACAATGAGTGACAGTCGAACAGGTGGTCAGAGGTTTCTCGGTTACTAAACAGCATCAACCAGATTTTCCTTAATCAAGCATTCTAAATTGTTTGGTGCAGCCTTGTGCGGTGATTCCTTTTCTAGACGACAGACATATACGGTACTTTGTCTAATACAATTTAAAAGACTCTTATAAATTACACAAAACCATGATCTATCTTTGGAAGCATTATAAAAAGCATATTTAACTAAAAGATGGTAATTCATCTACAAACATTTAAATTCATCTAAAAAATATTAATGGTGAATCATAAGATTAACTTCGTACATCGATACTTGGAAGAAGTGAGAAAAGAAGGGAAGTTTTTAAGTGGCCGCTTCAGTGCTTGTTGTTAATGGCCTTGACTTGGTCGAAAGAACAACAACAACATTTTCTTACCCATTTCAAGTGTGGACGTCTTACTCCTGGATCCAGTCCTGATCTCTTCGGAGACAGGTTGATTCAGCACGAACATCCTTCGTGGATATCCCAACTGCTGAATGAGGATGCTGACCTCCCTTTTCTTCCCTGCGTCATAAGAAAAATTAACTTTATGCGTGATGTAATGAACACATTGCATTACGTTACGTATTCTTTTCCGCCGGTGTAAGAAGGCCTCGAAGAAGATTACGTGTGCTTCTGTTGTAGCAACTACCGTCCTCTCAGTGGAACGTCGCAGTTGCCGGCATGTTAACAGATGAAGACGAGCATGAGTATATATATATTCACGGTTTTGTAGTAGAACATGAAAAATAACTAACCCAACGACATGAACATTTCTTAATTACAAAGTAAAATCTAGTTAAAAAACGACTGTTAATATTTTGTTTCGTACGTAGTATATTGTGTAATTATTTGGGGAACTTTCTCATTCCCCTTCGAATTATATGTTGCGTTTTCTTTTTTAGAACTATAGAATGAAGGAGGAGGATCATTTTCGAATAATTCCTAGTAAAGAGTTCAATTGCAATCAACTATGTCATGGACGTCTGTCATGGGTTCCCTCAATAACAGGTGAGTGCATTCATGTCCCAAATTCATTCCGGAAATAATAGACCTCGAGGTATCTCTTGATTGAAACTTCCTTGATGTGCCAAGGCAAGCCAAGGCCTTGAATTCATGCACTGTGTTTAGTCATGCTTATCTGAACACAAAAATTGTGTAACGTGTTAGTTGTAGGCAACAATGTTTGATTAGAATTCATTTTTCAGTTTATCGTGTTTACATAAAAATATGACCAACGGGCTGTAAATACTGAACAAATACAATTTCCAATCAATTCCAAACTAATATACAAGAACAATTCCTAAATGTTTTATGTAATGTATAATACACTCCAGACAAAAATTAATTAGGGAAATATATTTTCAATATTGATATGATATTTTTAATATATTTTCACCTGTCGATTACTTACACCGTATACAAATTTTCAATACGCTAATTCAATGTAAATCTTCGCCAACAAAGTGCATTGAATGGTTTCGAATGAATACTCGATTACATATAGGTACACAATTTTGACAGCTTAATATATATTAGTTATATATATATAATATTATATACACCTCAAGTTTTTATTTTCCATATTTTATTTCTTATTTTTCATGTTTTACATATTACATTTCCATTTATCTTGAAAAATGAATAATGAAGGAAACTGTAATAATTTGGATTCTGTTTCTGATAAGGACCCGTGTTATTTAGAGCTTCTAAGGTGGTGCAATTCAGCAAATGTTACGTGAATTACATCTGAGCAACTACACATGTTACAACAAGCACTTTATATTCTAATCATATGAAGCAGATACGATTTTTAGTATTCTATTCTTTTTAAACTTTTTACAAGGTAAATGTACTTGCTTTTTCATATTACTGAGTGAAATATTCACTATCGTGTATTGAATATTTGACTAGAAGTGGAGGGTGGTGATATTCCGCAATGAGGGCCCAATTAATATTTGAGGTTTGCCATCTTAGAAACAATAACATTGTTTCAAAGAAAGTAAAAAGAGAAGAAATACATGGAAGAGGGCACAGAAGGTGATAAATGACAATTTATTGAGTCTGAAAATGACTGATTAATATGCCTTCCTACCTTCAAGAAGATCATCCAATAGTTAATTTTTTGTCTTTCCGGGAGACGGCCTTAAGCAAGAGAACGCTTTGTAAATATCTTGAAACGGATCATTCTCTGATTACTGCAGATAAAAACAACAAAGTTCGCTATGTGTGAAATGTGGAGCCGCACCTAATACGCTGGAGCAGAGAAGATATTTGTTCGCTACTTATTCGTCGTTAGACAATGGCTTTTCTTTTTTATGACTTTTAACGATAGTTTGAGTCTAGAATACACTTATAAATGGACACTGAGAGAACAAAACACGCCATTCTCAACTTTCTTTTTGTGTAGCATGCATTATTTCGTAACTGTTGCGTCATTGGTGGGAGGCACGAATGTGGAACAGCAGATAATCGCGAGAACGGACGATGTGAGATGTTGATTCGATGCAGATCCGGGGGACTTCCTCTGCGCCGGTGGTCCCGTCGCAGTTCTCTTCCGGAAACCATCAAGGGAAACGGAGGAAGAGGGGGGTCGTGAGAACAAATGAAGCAATGAAAGGACCAGTTCCTCCATGAAAATTAAGATGCTCTCTCTGCCCAGATATTATCGAAATGCCTGAGACATCGCTCGTAGTTGCGGGAACATTCGCGTTGTTTGTCGTCGACGAGTCGCTGTCTCTTTCCCGAAGGCAGTTAGTAGCTGCCTATCATCTGGAAAGAACAATAAGGAAGTGCACAGAGGTAGACTCGCTCTCCGACGTTTTGCGTCAAGAGACCGCTGGAATGTGGCGACTCCAAGCGCGACCAGCGGCGGCCCCCATTAGATGCGTTGCGAAGCACTTGGCAGTTAAGTATCGCGGACTCCCCAGTGACATTCTCATCCGCCGAGGTGCAATCATGTCGTAAAAGAGAAACTGATTGTTAAAGTTTGCAAATTTTCAGTTATAAACGACATTTTTGTTACTAATAAACATTAAAAAATTAAATAGGAAAGAAAAAATTGGATTATTATGGTGAAAGTAGTTATAGAACTGCAAATTTGTGTATTTAAAAACACTTCAAGTTCCGAAAAAAGTATAGAAAATTAAGGTAGAAACATCCCACATTCATGATTAATATATTTTTAATGAACTTGCTTTCAATTAGTACCGGGATGTAAAAAGTGTCAATTAAAAATTATATGCATACTAGTTCAACGTTGTAATACGGATAATTTAACCTGTGATGAGAATATTAATTGCTATATGTTACAGACATATTGAGAAACCGAGCAATTACGCAATTTCAACATTTAATTACTTATCATAAAATCATGTTTTGTGTTTCACATACGATTGCTCATTCATGCTTGTTACTACACACAGTCTAGATAATTTAATAATGCCGGAACATCAAGATTATAGTGTTGCGAATAATGCATTTTATTTCACATTAACGCATTGTTAGAAGCAAATTACAACGCCCGAGACAAAAAAAATTACAAACAAAGAACATTTAAGTGTCGAAATGGGAAAAACTCGCAATCAACCAAATATGCAAAGTAGTACTTAGGTGAGATCGCTCTATGCGTTAATTTTGTCTCTGAATCATTACATTCAATTAAAACGAAGAGGAATTTTAACATTACTTTCAGATCTCTATGTCGATGGTTCCATCTCTTATTTATTTTGTAACAACACATCGATTATTATTCAATTGAACATGCATGTTATTGAAATTTAATGCTGAAAATGTTTAACAAAATGTTATCTTTTCACATGCTTCGCAACAATGAAATTATATTTTTTAATTTATTTTCTTGCTTGTGTTAGTGAGGATTGTTTTTCAGGGATTCTATTTAATGACGTTTTGCAGAGGTGCACTTATAGGCTCACCGTTCAGATAGAGTCACAACCAAGATTTAGATACAGTGAAAGTGATGAGAAATGATACAAGGGAAGTAATAACATGAAGATGGAGCGATTTATTATATGAAAAATAAACCCGTTATTTCACAGTGGCAAGTTCAAGCATCCACCAACGCGGAAATATTTGTCTTGACCGCACAGCCACATTGCGATTCAGTGAACTGAGAACATTCCACAGACATGTAGCGCAGAGATATTGATGTACCCACAACATTTCACTATTGTATTGAGAAGCTATATAATTTGTTTTGGTCGGATTAGTATAGTCCTGAACATACAGTATAGAACCTGTAAGTAATTGATTCGTAAATCTTAACGAGTAAATCTTAACGAATATTGATTCGTAAATCTTAACGAGTAACGAGTAAATCTTAACGAGTAACGAGTATACCCAATAGTGTTATATCTCTAATCGTTTTAATTGCAATTTCAAAAATTACATCTTCATGAACTTCATTGCTCAAATTTCTATTCTACAAAGCCATCTCATTCTGTTCAATTTTCACGCATCCTTCGTGAGACGCAACAGTTGCGAGGAGTGAATTGCCTCTTAACCGAAGAGACGATGATTTAAGCGCCTCGCTTGTTTCCGTGGGACTCTTCCGGTAGTTTCTCCGCAGCGAGCGCGCCGATCGCGTTTGCACGCTCGCCCGCCCGGAGGCCCGGAACGTGACTCGAGCGCTTGTCGCGGAGATTTCGGCGGCTGCGGTGCGGCACTTTCCGTTTCGGTTGTAACGACGGGGCGGCGGTAGAAGGCAGCGTGTGGTGACGGAGAGGAGTGCGTTTGGAGGTGTGTAGCGGCGAATAGCGATGGCGGCGGTGGAAATGACTTTTTAATTTTTTTTGTTTAACGGTATAGTAACTGTGAAGATGATATGATTTGGTGAGAATGAGTGTGAAAGGACGAACACAAATACAACCGTGCCCGAGGTGGGACTCAAACTCGCAATCCCTCGATCCCAGATCGCTATGTGACACTACTGCCTTAACGATCTCGGACATCCGGAGCGGCTGCGGTATTATAGCTGCTTGGTTCCCCGGGACACGCTACGGCCTAGGTGCAGGTGCCAACGTTTCGGCAGCCATTGTGCGACCCTCTCAGGGCAAAAAAATGCATGCGTCTCCCGGACAGTCAAGTATTGAGTTACTCCGACTATGGAAGCCTAATCTCGCATTTCGGTGGGGGGCATGCGGATCTTTGTATGGTGACGGGCGGCGGCGACGGTGGCGGCGCTGATGATGGCGACGAATCTGCTTCAACACTTGTCGGGGACCAAGATTGTGTCGCACGCATTGGCGCTTCCGGTGCTAGGAGAAGCACCGGACCATCCGTGGTCTTAAAAGTCTAAAGTTCGCTCATCGATTGCGCTCTCGTATTCACAGCTAATTTGCAACACTTCCATCGGTACATGAATGATTTTTCGAAGCCAACCCAAAATAATAGAGATGTAATATTTTTTTATTTTTGTTTTTTCAATATTCTGCATATCAGACTTCACAAGAATGTGTAACCAATAATGTGTTACCGATCGCACGAGCACGATCCACGTATCCTTAAGGTAAACATTAAACTAAAATAAGGTTTATAAAATTTATTTATTAAGAAGATCTTTTTAGTGTTTTTCGTTTATAAGTGGAAGGATGTCTTCATTTTCAGTGAGCATTTTTAATTTATCTTGACGTTACGTAATTTTCTAATGATTTAACCATTTCAGGTCGTCTCTGCATGGCAAACTGTGAAGTTACTTACATTTTCGGATATTTATAGCTTATTGTAGTAATTTCGTAAACGAGTTTCCCTTTGAAGTTTAATTAAATTAATTACTTTTGATTTACATTGTTTATTTTGGTAACAATTAGCTTGTGTTTGATTTAACTGTGATGTATTATTATTATTATTATTATTATTACGTTTGTTTCACGTTGTTTAGTGATACATTCTTCTAAATTGTGTGTTACTTGTAAACTGTGTGTGTTACCACGGTCTCGGAATCCAATAAGCGTTTTTGGTTAGTTCTGTTATTTGACAATTAATATTTTTCTGTCTGCATTATTACGACAATTTTAACTATTTCAGAGGCAAGAAGGAGACGATTTCACAATTTTCCTTATCTATCAATTTCTTGCAATATTCCTATTAATCTAGCAATTTCTGTTTGTGTTCTATTTCTTTTACCATCATCATGATCATCGCCTCTGGCTTTCTCGGTCATTGTCGTCGCTGGTAGTTTTACCGACGTTTCATCATCATTATAATTTCAGTTTTATCTCCTTGTTTTCTCTAATGTTTCGAATGCTTTACTAACAATGGCCCCTCGTTCTATTGAAGCCTTTATTTCCCACTGGAGTGAACGTCCAACGTTGCCTCTCACTTCAGTCGCCAGTACCATTGTACCAGTCCGCGAATCGTTTCTTGTTTGGTTATTTACGACGTAAATCATCCACCTCGAAGAGTGATTTCACTTCCAATTGATTTTCACTCAGTTTTACGGATTAGGATTACGTTACTGGATTAGATTTCCGGAAATAAAATGTTAACTGAACCAGCGGTGTATCCGTAGGTAGTCGTTCAATGTAATTCTGGGTGGTGCAATAGTTCATTACACAAAAGAAATCTATATATTGTCGGTAATGCGGAGAGCCCAAATTTGTATGAAATGCATGTTGTTTTTGTTAATTGTTACGTGGAAAATGATCATTTTTACGAATCTGCTCATATAGAGCATTCCTGAAGAATTTTATTTTGCATATTTTGTCACATTTTACGGTTTCTGCGTATTTTAGCATATTCAGCGTATTTTGGGGGAAAAGTAAGAGAAAATGGTAATGATTTATTAAAGTCAAACTTCTTTAAATCGGTTAATTAGGATTTATTGTTATCGTGGTTCGTGGAACATCCCATCAGTTACCACAAAGAAATGAATATCCTTTTTGACTCCTAATTGTTGCTAACTGATGCAGATGTAGTGTATTTTGCTTGTACCATGCGTGCGATCAAAGTTAAGACTAAATTTTGGACAAAGGGGCATGGGTCGTCGCAATCAGTGCCTCGCGATGAAATGGAATTAAAATTCAATAATGGAAAAAGTTACTGTAATACTACCTGATAGCCCTAAAAGGTAAACCAACTGAAAGTTTGTCAAAAAGTACTGGTCTTCACTACTACAGATCATTTCAGCTTTGAAATTTTTCCCCTTAACATCTCTGCAAGTAGAAAGATCATTTCAATTTATAAAACTAATTTAACAAACGGACGAACGAGTTTTAGAAAAGTCTTGTCATAAATATTAATATTTTTAACTAAAAATAGAAAGTTCATTGTTCAACGAATTTATGTAATTTCTCTTAAATTTCATGACATATTTTAGGTGTTTTGTAATGCATAGAAATCCGGGCTCGAGTAATGAGTGTTATAGTGAGAACGAAACTTGGAAACTAAATCAAAATAATATCGCAGAGTTTTTAAGACTTTCAAGCATTTGGTGCAGTACTATAAATCTTCTGGAAATAAAATGTATTTAGTGATGATTTGGGGATATGTACGCAGTGCTTGGTTTGCTAGTTTTCAGTTTAGAGAACGAATACATGAATTTTTGAAACATAAAATGTGTATCACTTGAGATTTCCGCGCCACATATAGTTTGCTGCGACTTGATTTAATTAAGTACGGTACTACAGTATGTTATAAAAATACTGCACACAACATTCGATTGTACAATGAGAATGTGGAACATTTCATTATTTAGCATCAACAGAGTCTTATTGTCTTGTGCGAATGTATCGGACATCTCAAAGGTCTCAGCACAGACCACAAGCGAAGATCCAACCACATCAACCAGTTCAGTAACTCGTGCTGCAGGAAAACCGGG